GTGTGTGTGTGTGTGTGTGTGTGTGTGTGTGTGTGTGTAGGTCGGAGTTCAGTGTCTTTGTCTGTCACTCTCCACCATATTTTTTTGACACAGGGTCTCTTCATTGAGCCTAGAGGACATTGACTTTGTTATCCTGGCTGGACATGAAGCTCAGGGGTTCCAAAGGCCTGTGTCCTCCCAGTGCTGAGGTTATGAACACGTGTTCACACCCGACCTTTCGTGGGCACTTTCATGTGACACTTCTGTGCCAAACACTTTACTCATGAAGCCATTTTCCTAGTCCTTTTTTTTCCTTTTAATTTTTTAAAAACTGTTTGGGCACCAACTTGCACAAATCTGCCACCCTTTAGGCTCTTGAAATCTCACTTTTTTACTGTTAAGAATCTCAGGAAAGCCAGTTAGTGGTAGTGTGGGCCTTTAATCCCAGCACTCAGGAGGCAGAGGCAGGCAGATCTCTGTGAGTTCAAGGCCAGCCTGGTCTACAAGAGCTAGTTCCAGGACAGGCTCCAAAGCTACAGAGAAACCCTGTCTCAAAAAACAAAACAAAAACAAAAGAAAGGAAGTCAGGAAAAGAGAAGATGGAGTCTTGGACAAGTACTGAGGTGAAAGAAATAACACGGACTGCCGATTTTGACCTGCAGATCTGGATAGGGTGGGTCTTTGTCTGTCTCCAGTTCCCTTATCTCTTGGCCTCTCTTGTTCTGAAGTGAACGTGAGAAAAGCAAGTTACATAGAGGAGATAGCAATTCAGGCTGCTCTGGATCTTGGCAGCTTCCTAAGACTCAAGTTTTATTGGGTCGGGTGGCCGTGCAGGCTGTGAACCCGACAGCCAGGTGAAGGAGCAACGGTTGGTTCTTCCCCCTCTCCACTGCAGCTCTCACAACACGTGCTCAAACCCCTAAGGGTAAACAAGGCTCTGTCCACAAGTTTCTGAGAATCCAGGCCAAACACGTACACCTGGGGCCAACATTTACATACCTCACCGAGCGGAGAGGACCAGGCACAGAACTTCAGGGAGGCGCTGGTCATTCGGGCCTGAGATGCTCTTCTGAGAAAGGGATGATCAGGCACTAAGTCCCTGAGTGCTAGAGACTGCTAGATGCTCAGTACCGCTAGAATCCTAGTAGCGTGAGCATCGGGAGGAAGGAGGGAGACTGAGCCTCTGAAAGTAAACAGAGACCAGAAAGGCCGGAAAGGCAAGAGAAGAGGCAGAGAATCATTGAAAGCTTTTAAGTCACGCGTGGTAATGGTGCCCTTTAGAAAGGTTATTCAGGCTGCTGTGGGGAATGGAGGTTGCAATCCGGGAAGATGCGATGCTGCGAACGGGAGTAGCGATGAAGGTGATGATGTATTTGAGAGCTACCCAAGCAGCAGAAAGGGACAGGACATTCAAAGGTTTCTTGATCACAGCCACACTGATGTAACAGCATAACACAGTCTGTTAGACAGCAGCCTTGGTTTTAGGTGGCTCTGGTTGGACTCCTTTCCTTGTTATTTGGGTACATTACAAAGCTCAGAAGATTTGCCAGACAGTTTGCATAGACATCCACATACCTTTCTCCTTCCTGATGTATTGTTACATTTGCTTCTTCACACCGCCCTGTACCTTTTAAAACTCAACATCACTTGCAAGGTGGTTGCAGAAATCATGATCCCTTCAAAACTAGGGCATTTGTTGCTTTTCAGTAAGGAAATTCTCTTATGGAATTACAACATCATCTTAGTGCGGGAGTTACACCAAATATATGTATAAATACATATATGCACCACCATGCCTGGCTCCAAATAGTGTCGGATACCAGCTTCAACAAGGATACCACTTACCAGGGTGGGGGCATGGGGATTAGAAAAATAAGTAAAGAGAACGAAGACCCAAGCGAAGATAATAAAACAGAAACATAGGATGGTATTGGGAGGGAGTTCCAGTGAATACTGAAATTGCCCGTGTTTAATTTTCCATACACTTTTATACCCCAATACAATGGGGGTGGGAAGGAGTGGCAAAAGACTGCTTTAACGTGATGCAAAGGACAACCAGAACAGTTACTTTCCCCAATACTTGAGACATCAAGTCATTAATATTGTTTAGGCAGTGAACCCACCCTAGTCCCAGTATCCTGAAGACAGCCACTCCCTAGGTCAAACCTCTTAATTCAAAAGAAGGAGCAGAAGTATGCTTGAATTCTCCAACTTTTGGTCAGGGTAGAAAGGATAGACCTCTATGGGCCATCTTAATGTACAAAACACCAAGTAGCCACACCCTAGATCAGCATGTGTAGTCACATTGTTAACAGTTTTGAGCAAGCTGCAACTCTCTGACCTTCAGACAAGGTGGAAATAGGCTCACATTTTTGAGCCTCTGTCCCACGCTACCTTCTCGCCAGCAAGAACAACGCGGGGCACTTAGGATACTTCTGCAGTAAAGCTTTAATGCGTCTTGAGAGGGAGAGCATCAGCTTCCAAAGCGGAGACCCCGAATGAGGGGAACCCAGCCCTTATAAAGGAAACAGTCCTCGCTTCTGACGTGTCACTCTTGGATTGGTCCACTGCCCATTATCCCAGATGATGCCTCGGGAGTAGGCAGGGACGCAGCGGTAGAGAGTTACCAAGCACGTGTTACCAAGCACAGTTACCAAGCTGGGATTAAAGGCGTGTGCTACATCACCTTGAACTCACAGAGATCTGCCTGTCTCTGCCTCCCAGGCATTGGGACCAAAGGCGTATACTACCACGCCTTGAGGTCACAGAGGTCAATCTGCCTCTGCCGCCCAGGCATCAGGACTAAAGGCGTGTACCGCCACACCTTGGGGTCACAGAGGTCAATCTCTACCTTTGTTCCTAGAAGCAATGGAGAATGTGGTCCGGCCCTCCACAAGCCTCCACAAAATATCCTCCTTTTTTGTTCGTTTGTTAGTTTTTCAAGATAGGATTTCTCTCTGTAGCAGTCCTAGCTGTCCTGGAATTCGCTTTGTAGGCCAGGCTGGCCTCGAACTCATTGAGATCTGCCTGCCTCTGCCTCCCCCCACAGTGATGGGATTAGAGGTGTGTGCCACCACTGCCCTGCAACCAAATAGCATGTTTTAAAGCCACTACTTGACATTTTATTGACTTTTATATGTATCAATATTTGCCTGTGTTTATATATGTAATATAAATATCAGATGTGTGCTTGGTGGCTTTGTGTAGCACCCGCCTGTACTATGTGACAGTATGGTACTACTCCTGTATTGCGGCACCTGCATTACAGGACCACGCGTGAACCTCGGGTAAGGGACTGGAGATTGAAACACACAAAGACACACAGAGACAGCACAGACACAGACACAGACACACAGACACACAGACACACAGACACACAGACGCACAGACGCACACACACCCCTCTAATCACTGATAAAGAAGCCCTTTATTGAATAGCACCACGGAGGCTTATATACCCAACACAGTCGGGTGGGCCAGCAGGTGAAAACCTCATCCTGATCCTCAATCAAGGACAAGGCAACATGTGCTCAGGAAGCCGAGCTGGACACAGCTTTCAGTAGCTCAAATCAGAAGGCCAAGTAAAGGTCACTAGCAGGGGAGAGCAGCTGGAGGCCAGGACTCCAAACGGTTCCAATAGCCTTGGAGGGGACAGAAGAGGGAGTCAGATCCCCTGGAACTGGAGTTATAGAAGGTTGTGAGCCACCACATGGGTGCTGGGGAACAAACCTGGGTCCTCTGGAAAAGCAGCCAGTGCTCTTAACTGCTGAATTAGCTCTCCAATCCCCAAATTAAAGAACTACTTTTTGCTTTTATGTATGTATGTATGTATGTATGTATTTATGTGCATGTAGTCAGAGGACAACTTGCAGAAATCTGTTCTCTCTTTCCATCTAATGTGGGTTCTGGGGATTGAACTCTGGCCCTCAGGTTTGGCAGAAAATAATTTTACCCACAGAGTCATCTCATCAGCTCATAGACCTGTTACATTACACCGAAAGTGTCCTGTGGCCAACAAAGAATCACGTATTATATTTAGTTATTGTCTCTCTCCCTCTCTTACTCTTTGTTCAATATCTGTGTCAGTTTGTTTATTGACACAGGGTCATACTATATAGCCAGGGCTGCCCTCAAACTTGCGATTGTCATGCCTCAGCGTCCTGAGTGCTGAGATTATATGCCCAGAATGACATCCATCTACTTTGTTGTGTACAATACGGGGTATATCTTGAGGACATTGCCTTGTACAGCGACAATGCAAGACCTGAATAAGAACTTTAACATTGATACTGTGCAATCTATACCTACATCTTCAGGTGTTCCCAGGAATAGCTTTGATAGCATTTTGGTGGGAAATGGAGCAAGATCCCATGAAAGGATACATACTAGACTCAGTTGGTGTATCTTTGTTTTCTCCCTTAATCTAAGGCACTTGCCCGACTGACTCCACTTGGGTGTTTGTGCATGTTTCACAACGCTGACCTTTGGGAAGACTTCAGGCCAGTTGTTTTGAAGGATGTGTCTCTGTTTGGAATTGTCTGTTTCCCCATGGTTAGACTCAGGGCAAACATGTTCGGATGCTAGTAGGTTAACGTCTCTTTAGTAAAAAAACATTAGCTATGTCAGATGTTGAGTTTGAGCAGTAGATTAAGCTGGGTGGAAGTTTTGGTTTCCCACATTTTGCCAGCTAGACAAGTCAGTTATTGAATTGTCTTTCTTTCTGTCTTTCTTCCTTTTTTTTTTTTTTGAGGGGGGTTTGGTTTATTCAAGATAGGGTTTCTCTGTGTAGTCTTGGCTGTCCTAGACCAGGCTGGCCTCGAACTCACAGAGATCTGCCTATCTCTGCCTCCCAAGAGGTGGGATTAAAGGAGTGCGCCACCACCGCACAGCTCTGAAATAGTTTTCTGAGCTGTCGAATAAGCGTAACAACACACTTGGTGTCAATGGGTTGTTGAACAATCACAGGTAAGGCGTGTAGAACAGTACTGAGATCGTCCCGTTTTTCTCTCTTTCTCACCAAGGTCTACTTCATACCTGCATGTGCTCTACCACTGAATTCTGGTGATCCTGAGTTCTATAAGAAAGCAGGCGGAGCAAGCCAATAGCCGCATTTCTCCACGGCCTCTGCATCCGCTCCTGCCTCCAGGTTCCTGCCCTGCTTGAGTTCCTGTCCTGACCTCCTTCCCTGATGAAGAGTGGCATGGATGTGGAAGCCAAGAAAACCCTTTGCTTGCTAAGCTGCTTTGCTCGTGGTCACAGCAATAGAAGCCCTGAGACAGTGTGCAAGGGTTTTGCCTGCATACACGTATGTGCCTTTGTGTGCCTGATGGTCATGGAAGCCAGATAAGGGCATTGGATCCCTTGGAACTAGAGTAACGGACAGTAGTGAGTTTCCAACCAGGTGCTGGGAACTAATCCTAGCTTCTCTGCAAGAGCAGCCAGTGCTCTCAACCTCTGATCCATCTCTCCACCCCATTTCTGTTTTCACCTACACTTACAGAGACGATGACATGGTTTCATATTCACCACCATGGAGGGACAAGAAACCCCAAAGTGGCTGGGGATACAACTCAGTTGGTACAATGCCTCTAGCATCCGCAAAACCCTGGATTTGATCATCAATAGTGCATAAATCACGCCAGGTGGTATATGTCTGTAATCCCTGCCTGTGGAGGGAGAAGAGTTCAGAAAATCAGATCTGCAAGGCCATTGACGTGGAATATTTTTTTTAAATAATTTATTTATTTTATGTGCATTGGTGTGAAGGTATCAGATTCTGGAACCAAAGTTACAGACAGTTGTTAGCTGTCATGTGGGTGCTGGGAATTGAACCTGGGTCTTCCGGAAGAACAGTTCAGTGCTCTTAACTGCTGAGGTATCTTTCCAGCCCTTGATGTGGAATATTTAACTACACAAAGATGTGTTACATTTTTTTAAAAATTTTATTCTTATCTTATGTGCATTGGTGTTTGGCCTGCATATATGTCTCTGTTAGAGTGTCAGACCTTGGAGTTACAGACAGTTGTGAGCTGCCATTTGGGTGCTGGGACTTGAACCTGGGTCTTCTGGAAGAGCAGTCAGTGCTCTTAATCACTGAGCCATCTCTCCAGCTCCCGTGTTGCATTTGCTATTTAACTAAGTAAGTGTTGCTGTTTTACCTTGTCTGCCTAAGGCACCTGAGTGGTCAATAAAAAAATCTGGCTAATAGCCAGGGAAGAGGTATAGGTGGGACACGTAGGCAGGGAGAGTGAGTAGGAGGAGAAATTTAGACTCAGGAGAATAAAGAAAAAGAGATGGCAGGAAGATGCCAGGGGCCAGCCAGACTTGGAAGAAGCAGGAAAGTTGGCCTTACTGGAAGGGAAGGTAAAAAGACCAAGGCAAAAGGTGAACGAATAGAAACGAATTATGTTAAAAGAGCTAGTAGGACAAGCCTAAGTAAGCACAGGTCAAACATTCATAATTGGTAATAAATCTCCATGTCTTTATTTGGGAGCTGATTGGGGACCCAAAGAAAAATCACAACTACAGGCCATTATACTCAGTAGATTGCTTTAAAAAGGGGGAAAAAAATGAGGATTTGAAGGTGTAAAGAGAATGGGCCCAGGCGGAATGGGAGGAGTGCTGATGGTGGATCAAGGCATACGACGGTTTGCATGTATAGAATTGTCAAATATTCTAAAAAACTTGAAAAAAGTTCCAAGATCATCTTCATCTACATGAGTTTGATATAGGTAACCCTGTCTGAAAAACCCAAAACACCTAAAAGCAGCTTTTTAAATGCTCAAGGGCTTTGCACATGTGAAGAACTGAGTTGGACAGCAGGACAGGAGCCTCTCATTCATACAGCTGAAGCACAGTGTCACAATGATGCTGGGTGTCCTGGACATGGTGGCTCCCAGCACTCAGGAGGCAGAGGCTGGGGAATCGCCGAGTTTGAGGCTAGCCTGGTCTACAGAGTGAGTCCCAGGACATCCAGGGCTACACAGAGAAGCTCTGTCTTGAAAAAAAAAAAATGAAAGAAAGAAAAGAAAAAAGTCGGGTGGTAATGGCGCACGCCTTTAATCCCAGCACTTGGGAGGCTGAGGCAGGCGGATCTCAGTGAATTTGAGGCCAGCCTGGTCTACAAGGTGACTTCCAGGGCAGTCCAGAGTTGTTACTCAGAGAAACCCTGTCTCAAAAGACCAAAAAGAAAAAGAAGAAAAAGAGAAGAAGGAAAAGGAAGGAAGAAAAGAAAGAAAGTCAGCAAGGAAGTGAGAGTATGAAAAGGCTAGGTTGCCCGTGCCTCCACATGTGTCTGCCGAGTCATCGGAAAACCACGTGGTCTATCTAGCTGGGACTTCCGGTGATCAAACTTCACCCTATGCGTTTCCCGGCAGCGCTGCCTGAGTATTTTGGCCCTCAGAGGGATCCGTATTCGCCGACTCTCCCGGCGTCCGTAGCCGGGAAACCGAGCGTCCGGCGTTGCAGGTTGTGGTCCGCGATGTCTGGTGAGGAAGCCCCGCGTAGGGCAGAGTCCTCCGAGGCCCGTGCGGCCGCTGTCAGCGACATCCAGGAGCTGATGCGCCGCAAGGAGGAGATCGAGGCGCAGATTAAAGCTAATTACGACGTCCTGGAGAGCGTGAGTGTGGCTAGGGCTCCGGGCGGAGAGGACGGCGAGGCTTGCGGACGCGAGGCCCAGGGGTGTCTGCCCAGCACTAACTAAGCGCTTTCCATCCGTTACCCCTTAACAACCCTTGACGTGGGACTTATTTTCATTTTCGGAAGCATTTAACTTTGTTTTTAAATGCAGCCCAAGCTAGCCTCGAACTCGTGAGCTTGCTTCAGCTTTCCAAGTGTAAGAGTTACGTACAGGCCGGTGCCATCATGACAGGCCTGAAGCATTAGTTAAACTTCATGATCACAAAGATAGAATATTTGCTGAGGCGTATGATAGTCACCACTGTCACCGTCCATGGGTAACGTTCCCGGGTTTGGTGTGCCTTGCCACCCGCTTTGTATTGAACTGTAATAAACGTCATCTGTGAAAATTAACTGGGCCCCTTTTTAAAGATAGGCTATAGCCAGGAGAGGCAGCCTTATTTGTAACCCCTGCACTTGGAAGGTGGAGGCAGGAGGATCTGGAGTTCAGGGTTATCCTTGGCTACATAGTTAGCTCGAGGCCAGCCTGGGCTGTGTTGGACCCTGTCTCAAAAATTAAATAAAATAAAATACAATTTCTAATTGGGGTGGGGAACAGACTCTGCATTTCAGGAAAACTCCTGGCAGGCTACAAAGGACTGCTTTGAGTGACAGGTAAAGCGCATTGTCCTTACTGTAAAAGGGGGAAACTGAGGCCCAGAGTGGAGCAAATGCTTGCCAGGTTAGACAGTGGCAGTGGTGGGTCAGGTTCTATGATTTGTCTTCCTTCAAAGCAGACATTTTTTTTTTTCTTAAAAATCACAAGTCACGGGCTGGAGAGAATGGCTCAGAGGTTAACAGCACTGACTGCTCTTCCAGAGGACCTGAGTTCAATTCCCAGCAACCATGTGATGGCTTACAACCATCTTTAATGGGATCTGGTGCCCTCTTCTGGCATGCAGGTATACATGCAGGCAGAAATACATGCAGACAGAACACTGTATATATAATAAATAAATAAATCTTAAAAAAAATAATCACAGGTCACTTTGTAGAGGAAGGGGAGACAAAATCAGACCTGGATAGGCAGGGTAGATGGGACTAAGAGGATGATGTATCACGTGGAGGTGCCATGTTGTGGATATTAGTTAAATGTAGGTTTGTTTTTTTTTCCTTTGTCTCTTTGGAGGTCTGCCACCTAGCTTCCAAATAAATACATGGGGTCTTATTCTTACTTATGAATGCCCAGCCTTAGCCTGGCTTGTTGCTAGCCAGCTTTTCTAACTTAAATTATCTCATTTCTCTTTAACTACATTTTGCTTCTGGGCTTTTTACCTTTCTTTATGTATTTTTCTTTCCTTCTTCCTCTGAGACTTGCTGGGTGGCTGGCCCCTAGCATCCTCCTCTCCTTCTCATTTTCTCCCCCCTTTATTTATTCTCTCTGCCTTGCAGCCCTGCCTATCCCTCTCCTGCCTGGCTATTTGCTGTTCAGCTCTTTATTAGACCAATCAGGTGTTTTAGGCAGGCTTCACAGGGGTAAACAAATGGAACATAAAAGAAAGCAACACATCTCTGCATCATTAAACAGATGTTCCACAGCATGAACCAACGTAACACATCTTAAACTGATAGTCCACAGCAGTATCACGTACTAGGTACCGTCTTACTAGGAGCTGACCCCACGCCTGAACGATACTGACTTTATGTGTGCTGTATCAGGAAACTGTCACAGCTACTCCACTCAATTGGTGTGTGCCCCTGAAGCTCAGGGAGGCGAACTCAGGGGCTGGAGAGAGTGCAGTGGTTACGAGCACTGGCTGCACAATCATGAGGACTGGAGTTCGGGTCTAGCCCCTACTATTTAACAGTCCACATGTCCCACAGACACCTCTAACTCCATACCCTTGTGGATACATTTAAACAGACATGTTAACAAACACAAATCACTTTTTAAAAACGTGTGTGTATTCATATATACTAATATTCATACGTATGAAAGGAGAAGTCATTTGCTTAAAGTCACAAGTCGGTTTCAGCCCTCAGGGTTGATCAAGTAGAATCAAACATCTCATGTATTATTGTATCATTATTCTTTGGTATTGGCCTCCTATTTATCATTTAGCCGGGTGTGGTAATGTATACTTGCAATCTCAGCACTTAGGAGGCAAAGGCTGGGAGATTGTCCCATGTTCAAGGCCAGTCTGATCTACACAGAGTTCCAGGGCTATGTAGTGAAATAGCAAGACCCTGTCTTAACAACGGTGGTGGGGAGGGGGGTATACTGGGGATATAGCTTTGTTTGTAAAGGGCATCCCTTGAAAGCCTGAAGACCTGAGTTCAGTCCCTAGAATCCACGGGTATAGTTTTTTATGTTTGTAATCCCAACTGGAGAGGCAGAGACAGGAAGATGGCCGGGGTTTCTGGCCAGCCAGTCTAGCCTGATTGATGAGTTCTAGGCCAGTGAGACACCCTGTCTCAAAGGAGGTAGATGATGTTCCTAAGGATGTCCCCGGAGCTTGTCCTCTGACCTGTACATGTGTATGTGCACACACAGGTGCACTTGCATCCATACGCATGCACACATGCACATGCGATAAAAACCAAATAAGAAGAGGGAAATTTATAATTACATTGCACATGGAATCTGAGGCTATTTGCTATTTTCTCTTAAATATAAGGTGATAATGTATGTTAATTGCCTTTAATTTATTGTTTGATTGCTGAGGGCTTTTAGCATAAATATCTGCTCAGACTTTTTCTTTGTTTTTTTGGGACAGGCTCTTGGTAGGAAGCCTGGGCTATGTAGTAAGACCCTGCCAACCTTTCATTTTGGGGCTGGAGAAATGACTCAGCAGTTCAGAACACATTGGCTGCTCTTCCAGAGGTCCTGAGTTCAATTCCCAGCAACCACATGGTGGTTCACAACCATCTGTAATGGGATCTGATGCCCTCATCTGGCATGCAGGCATGCATGCAGACAGGTCACTCATTAAAAAAAAAAAAGAATACATGAAACCTTTGATTTCATAGTACTTAGTCACTTAGTCAGAAATGTGAAAAGAGGAGACAGTGCTCGATAAGAAGCTAGTGCCTGGGATATAGGGAAAGCAGCAATAAACACACAAGTAAATAGCAAAGTTAGCAAAAGACATAGGATATAAATAGAATTATAAATATATAATTTCCTCAAATAAAATATGTATGGTTGATAAATAAGCACGTAACACATTTGGAACAGGCCCTGGAGATGACTCAGTGGTCAAGAGCTCTGGCTGCTCTTTTAGAGGGCCTGGAGTCAGTTTCCAGCACCCTTATGGTAACTTAAAACCAGCTCTGACTCTCTTCTGGGGACCAGATGCCTCTTCTGACCATTGTGGTCACTGTATGCACATGGTCTGCATGCATACATGGAGGCAAAACACTCATACACAAAATAGATCTTAAAAGCAAGACATGCTAAGTATAGCTATTAAGGAAATGTAATCATAGCAAGATACTACTTTATACTCGCTAGGGATGGGTATAATGAAAATGTAGGTAATATCTTAGGGGGAACACGGAGAAATCGGAAACTTCATACAACTGTATGACCGTGTAACTGCTGTCCAGAATTGTTTAGCAGTTTCTCAAAAAAAATTAAACAGTTATATAACCCAAAAAATCCATTTCTCCAATGTGATAATTATGATAGTTGCAAATATATATTCCTCCCAAAATTCATACACATTGTTTAAAATATCCAAGAAGTGGAAAAATGACACAGTTATTCTTCAGGTAACAGATAAATATAGTCTACCCATATGGTGGGCTATTATTTGGAATAATAA